ATGGCTACTGCTGTAGTTCACCTGGAGGTACTTTGTCAAACTATTAAAATTCTGGTTTCCTCACTTTCATTGGAAGATTAGCATGTCAGAACTCTTATATTTTTAAAAAAGTCTGTATTGTAATACTTGACCTTGTTTATCAAGGGTTATATCCCACTGGTATCACTGCACTGATTGAATCACCTTTGGACCAGTAGCTATCCACCTGCTGCCTTGCTAGTGGTGTTCTAACAGGTGGATCGGTGTGGGGCATCATGAGAAGGGGAGAATCATCCAAAATTGCCTCTTATCTTACTCAACTCACAAAAGCCTACATCTGTTAGTGGTACCAGATCTTGTGAATACAAATATTAGTTATTGAGCTTTTTATTCTGAAAAAACATTATACAGTATAGTAAATCTGTATGTTTTCTATATAACAACTATGGATCTCAGGACTTTTTTCTGTACAAGCAAAACTCCCTTTGCTTTTCTTATAGATAACAAATTGTCCAAAGATATATGAAAAATACCCTTTTTAACTGTATGCCAAAGAAAAAGTAATATTGTCGTTACTTTGGCATAATACAGCAACCATGCAGCCCATGGTCTTAATGGATTCAGAGGATTAGATCTATAGTTCCACTCAGACTACAAGCTGTTGATGAGCACAGCTTTCACTGTTCTTTACTGCATATTCCTAAATAAACATCCTACATTCTTCTTTCCTAAAAAAATATTGTGCTTAGCAGGCCTAAACATTTAATCCCCCCCCCCATATACTTGTATACCACCTGATCAGTGCAAGGCACTACTTTCAAGCCACATTACTTTTAAATAATGATTTACTGCAAGCTTCTGCAAAGCAGCAAAGATTATTTTGCTAGCAATATATAATATATAAAAATGTGTTAGTTTTAACAATAGTTGTAACTATCTTGTTCTGCTATCCAAAATTGATTTACTTGGCTTTCGGCACTTATACTCAGAACAATTTGAGAGCATCCTCTCTTAACATACTATGGACTGACTATTTTTAGACTATCCGTTCACCATTGTTCGGTTTTCCATCAATTGATGCTTGTTTTATTTGATTATACGTGATGCTTGCCTCTTATTATATTTAAGCTTTGTTTTATTTTACATCTGTTCCCCTCTGGATATAAACTGCCCAGAATAATGTTTATCACTAATTGGTGCAGTATACAAGTCAAATAAATAAAAAACAAACAAACATAGCAGTAATCTTAGAACATTTCAGCAATAGCCAACTTGCCAACATATCCACTTAAAAGAGCCATACCAAACTTCTAATCTTAAACTTGTTCTACTGTCCTGGTGTGTGGAACATAATAACCAATCATTTTCACGAAATATGCAGAACTATTTTTTTCTTATTTTTGTAAATAGGATTAAGGCAGTTAGCAATTTCTGCAAAATTGTGCTTGCCAATCAGGGTAAAATACATCTCAACTCTTCTGCAAATTACCATTTCCATGGTCATAACAAGGCTTTGTGCCATGACAGACTTATAAGTTATTTCAATACAGAACACAATGGTTTATCAAAATGATGAAATCAAATTTTAATAATTTAAGCTTCATTTCTACAAAAATGTATGTGACAGTAAGTCTGATATAACTCACTGGACGTTACTTCTGAGCAGACATATCTGGCCTTGAAGTGTTAAAACATGTCCAAGAGGCCCAAGTTCTACTAAATGGAAAACATTTAAATTGAACCCACTTAAGATACTTCAAACATACTACCAACAGGAAATTGAACAAACTCTGGGAGGCAGTGGAAGACAGGAGGGCCTGGCGTGCTCTGGTCCATGGGGTCACAAAGAGTCCGATACGACTTAATGACTAAACAACAAGATATTTCAAAATGCTCAAACCTCTCAGCTGTTGTGTTTTCATAAAGAAACACCTCTTTGCACTAACACCTATTGCACTAACAGTTTACTGAAACAGAGCTGTCATATTGTCCTCTAGCTACACAGAAAACTCAAGATTCAAAATATTTTTATGTAAGTAGAAATGTGTACATCTCTTTGTTTGGGACTGGAGATTTGTTGCTAGGATAACCCCTTAGCTCTTTGGTTCTTTATTTAGGTCCCTCTGAAGTCTCTTGACCTGCTGTCAGATTACAACACAAAGTCTTCAAGATAAATACCAGGGACAACAGTTTCCTTGACTGACCACTTTTCAGCTTAACAATGCTAAAGCTCATTTTACATATCTGGCAGTAGAGTTACAGAGAAACAGGAGTAATTTACTTAATTAGTCCTGAGTATTATAAATGCCTAGAAGAATAATTGCTAGAGAAATTCACATGAATTCTATGATGAATATCTCAAACTGATGCTCTCATATTAACCACCTCTAGGAAAAGGAACACTCATTCCCCTGAGAAGCTGTCCGGTTTCCTTATCAATTTGCTTGCTGCCTTCCTGGCTGCCTTTGACTGCTGTAATTTCTGTGTGATGGAGGAAAAAACTTGTAGCCAATAACAGGTGCTATAATATGAGGTATCTTTTCCCATAAGGGTCGAGAATGCTGTCTCTCCAGTGCTTCTAATGCCACATTTTGTCTAGATGGTGCAAAAAAAAAAAAACAAAAAAAAAACCTTAGATTGCACAGGCTATGTGCCATTGAACTCATCATATAAGCATATATGGGACTGCACAGTAGAACCCTTTTATTCCAAAATGAAGCAATTATGTAACTGTTTAATTACATAGAACTAATGAAATGCAAAACGGTTGGGGTGTTCCAGAAAATCTATAGTATACCAAAGGAAAGAAACAAATTAATCCTTTTGGTTTCTTGTCTATTTTAAAGGTAGACTCCAGCATCAAACAAAATGTACACTGAGATCATCTCACTCAGTTCAGTAGGACTCACGTTCATCATGGATGCTGGCACATGACAGCTTTTGGAAACATTACTTTTCATAACCAGTGCTCATGCAAGCTACAGGATTCTGAGTCCTGTCCAAAAACTGACTTCCTTCAGGCTCTGGAGTAACTCACACGACTTGGTTCAAGGTTCATAAACCTCTTCATGAACTTAATATTCTTACCACATGCATTTAGAAAGGGCCAGTGAAGGTCAAAACACAACATATATCTTACCAAGGTAAAGGGATAACAACTGGTCACAGGAATGTGCACTACAGCCCACCTCACCTTTTAAAGTCAGTCTCACCCACCCCCAGTTGCTTGCTATCTATCATAATTAGTTAAAGCTAACTAGGGGTTCTAGTCACCCAGGCCTAGATTAGCACAACACAGACCTCAAACATAGTTAAAAGATCTTCTTTGAAAAATAAAGTGAATTTGCAATGATCAATTAAGGTGCAGACTGGAGAATGCATATTCCCACAGCTCCTCTCTTATATGAACTACCCAGCAATTAAGATCTAGCCAGGGGGCCCATCCCTCAAGGAGGTAAGGGGGATGGCTTGTAGACAAAGGGCCTTTTCGGCAGCTGCTCCAAGACTATGGAACTCCATCCTGAAGATTAGTCTGGCGCCGACACTGATGAGTCTCAGCGCCAGGTCGAAACCTCCCTGTTCCAGAAGGTTTTTAATTGAAATAGTATCAAAGCAAAGAAAAAAAGCAAAGCATGCTGCTTATACACCACCCCATAGCTCTTCAAGCACTCTCTGGGCGGTTTACAATTATGCAGGCTACACATTGGCCCCCCCCAGCGAGCTGGGTACTGTACTCATTTTACCAACCTCGGAAGGATAGAAGGCTGAGTCAACCTTGAGCCGGCTACCTGCCTGGGATTGAACCCCGGGTCGTGAGCAGTCCTGATGGCAATTTTTAGAGCCTTGTACTTTTAATTCTATTTTAATTGTTTTTATCTTTTTATCGAATTCAAATTGTTGTAAGCCACCCAGAGACCTTTGGGTAGTGTGGGCAGAACAGAAGTTAAACAAACAAACAAACAAACAAACCAGGCCGCATAATAATGCTGTTCCTCATTGAGAAAACCTTTACTTTTTGCCATTTTAATACTTGCACTGTGGTGTATTAGAAAGGTGTTTCTGATCTGCATCAAATGATCATGAAATGGACCTAAAGGAATGTACAGCTACAACAACATACAGTTGCCAAAACATGCTGAAATGGGCACTTTTCATTCTGTTATGATAAGTCATAATCTTCTCTACTCACACACCTGCCTAACAAATAACAAATTAACTGAACCAGTGTCGAAAAAGCAAATGAAATAAATATGAGCAAATAAGCTCCTTAAGTGAGTAGTAGCTTGCAATATTTATTATTTTTGCTGGAACTTCACATCGGCAGCAATCCTCTAGCCTAGTGCATATATAATTCTACACTGCAGAAATTTCTGCCACCACAAACATTCAAAAACACAGCTGCCAAGCTTGCCAAATCTGCAGAAACCAAATGTATAATCTCTTTGTAGAGATAAACATCCACATGTCTGGTACATATTCTTATATGGAAATGGAACACCTAGGCCTCCCTTTCTGTCTTCACTTCAAGTGCTGCTCTCAGTCTCATTGTTGTATGAAGTCCAGCCCTTGACTACAGAAGACGTGGTGTAGCAACCAAGGGGTGTCATTCACTTATTGTCTCAATGAGAGCTGCCTACTGTGCTGCTTGCCTTCAGACATCCAGCCATGCTATTACTTTTATGCCCTTTCAATCTTAGAAATAGCACTGCAACTCTTGAAGGGGTTGACATTACTGCTTTTTTGTTTGTTTGACCTTTCAATACAGACATTAATAACACTTTCCATTGCTTCTGAGTGTTTGTGATTGTTATCCATATAGAAAATCCCATAAATGAAATCAGTTTCTTACAGGAAGACAAGACAAATAAAATATAAATTTAAAATGTTAAAACAAAACAGTAGGCCACCAGCAGATATAAACTGGCTGAAGAACAAATCCAATAGTGTGCAGATATATCATCATTGCAGAAATGAAGTACACAGTACATTACTTTTCTGTACATACGGATACAATAACTAACCTTTACTTCAGGTTCTGGTGATACTTTCTCCACTTTGTTCTTGTTTAACATGCTTTTCACCAATTCTTCTACTTGCACATTGAATTTCATGAAGGTCACATAAACCATATAAGCAGCCAACAGCGTTAAACTTTCCCACCACATAATAAAGTTATCCAGAAAGAAGATTATTAGCAATATCAAGTCCATGATGTAAAAACTCACATCCCGAAAGAGTGGCCACCAAGTAAGGTGCAAAATTTCTTTGGAAAACAAAGCACACATCCCAATCACAAACAGGATATTGAATACTGCAGATCCTACTATTGTTCCAATACCAACATTGCTGTGAGATATAAAGACTCCTATTAAAGAAGTGAAAAGTTCTGGGGCTGAGCCACCTGCAGCCATGAAGGTTGCCCCTGCCACATCGTCAGAAATTTTTAGTTTTTCTGTGATGACTGTCAATGATGGGACAAAGAACTCATCACAGACAATGGCTAAGGCTATGAACATATAAATCATTCCAAAAATATGAAAGATTACAGCACCTCTTCTTCTCTCTTCTAAAGAAAAAAGATCTTCTGGATATTCCCCTTTGTGTTCTTCTGTGTTATTCTCCTGTCCAGCTTCAGATTTCATAGAAATAGGTGAATCAGGCGTATCATTTTGAGTCTGCTCCTTAAAGTCTAACAGAGTTCTTTGATGTACATCTGTAGTCTTTTGGCTACCTCGATTACCGTCTGTCTCTGTGCTATAAGGTTCCAACTGGAAAAAGGCACTAATGGAAAGAGAGAGTGTGCTCACAGCCATAATACCTAGAAAAAGTCCTGTTATTCGTATCAGTCTCTTTTTTTTCCTAACACTCCGGTGTTTCTTACAGCCAGGTGGTAGCTCCTGAAGGCACCACTCTTCAAGGAAATGATCAGCAAAGTTCTTATAGTGAGCCATTTTGAGCTCCTTCCTGTGGTCCTATAATATAGAGTCAGGTAGACTGTTCTGTCATTCTATTGCTGTTCCTGTGAACAGTGCTTTGACGTCCTCTCACTGAATCAAGGATTTTTATACGTTATATGGAGTGCATATGCCTCAACTGTGCTTGAAAAAGAGAGAGAGAGAAATGTTTATCAGCTTAGTTATAATGCTGGATGTGCCAAAATATATTTCCCTCTACATATCCCTACCCCTTTTTTAAATACACTGTATTACACGGTCACATGTAACAAATGATTATCTTCTACAGTAAGCATAGCTTTAGCAGTGTTCCCTGGGTGTTAGAAAACTTGGATTTGTACATTTATATACTCAAAAAGCCTTTCTGTGATGACGCTGAGTCACTAGAACCTGCTAACCAGTGTATTTGTTTTATCAGTTTCTTACAGGAAAACCAAACATGGCTACTTCATGCTCCCAGGACTAGTTTTTATTGCCAGTGTGCATCCACAGAACCTGTCTACAGACATCTTTCTCCTTTTCTCAACATGCTGGATCAAATTTATCCCGGCATATCGAAGATGTGCATATATTCATTATTAAGTTCATCATTATTAAAAACCCTGAGAATGCAATTTGCAGGGAAGAGAGCACTTAAACTCAAAGATAAGTACAGTATCAGGAAACTCAAAGGTACCATGCAGTTGAGTCTTCTGAAGAATAGCTCAATTCCATAGCCGTACTGAGGTAAAATATCATGATTTAAGCCATTTTAATTAACTGATACTCAGTGAAGTCAAATTAATTAGAGTGGTTTACATCTAGATACAATTTAATTTAACTGTGGGTTAATCTACAATTTATTTAAAATATTAACATATCCAACTGGCATATATGATTTGCAGTGTTATAAAGTATAAACATTTCTTAAAAGTTTCCTTAAAGTCTTCCAATGCAAATATTTAAACAGAACTTAATATGGTGTCCTTACCAACAAAGTCCTGTTCTGTGCTATTAAGAAAAACGGGGTATAAATAAACGCTAACAATGTTTATTATTTTTGAAAGCAGGTAAAAATCTCCCACTCTATCTAAGAATGTACCATCAACCTGTGTAATAAAAATGAAACACATACACTGGATCCAACCATTCTCTTTCCCATTGCACATTCTATTCTGTAAGCAGACACAAAGTATGGCTGAGGAATTAAGCCTCTCCTCATTCAACCCCTGCCCATCCCTCAGACTTATGCTGTGCACTTTTCCCAGTAAACTGATCCTATTACACTAAAGACTCAGGGTTCCTTTGGGGAAGCCTCTGCCTGTCAAGGTGAGGCTGCAGCATTTCCAGAGCCATAACTAGACATTTTGGCATCCAAGGCAATTAGCACCATCTCTCACCTATTCCACCCTCATGTACATAAACACCACCACATCCCCAGAAAGAGGATGATGACAATGAAGTGTCTCTTTAAGATAAGAACAGAATAGGAAAAAAAAACCCAGCCCAAAGTGAATATGGCTCTGCAGTGTTCTCATTTATTTGCTTAACAAACAGCACTAGATTGACCTCTAGACATCAGTGCCCTCCAAATTTGGGTGCCCTGGGGGAAAACCCTGATTTCTCCACCCTAGTTTCAGTCCTGAGCATTTCTCTCCAAACCAAAATCCCAGTTCTACAAAACAAAAACTTCCAAAATGCAAGTAGATGAGTCTCAGAGAAAAATTAATATTGCCTTTTAATTCACCTCTTCTATTTATCTAACAGTCTTGAAAGATGTTTATAGGAAATGCACACGGAACAGGCTGCAGCTTCCTCACTGCAAAATATGCAAGAAGTCTATTTCCCATTTAAAGCTGCAGTCAAACACACATTTTAGCTAGAAATAACTTCCCTTAAATTCAATGGCATTTATTTATTAGTAGTCCTTCTAAGACTGTGAGAGCCAGTCTTAAAAAAACAAATTGCATTAATCTGTCTTGTTTTTCAGAGAATGAATTTACTGTTGCCTGTAGTCTGGCAACAGACGTTGTGTGCGGAACCAATTTATAGTATGGAACCAATTTATAGTAACTCTAAAAGGGAATTCAGGGTATATAATAGGGATTTAAGGACTGTTCCACTCCACTAGTTCCACTCCCCTAATAAGTTTCCAGGCTGAGCAGGGGTATCCAGACCCCCTGAATCCTAGTCCATCACTCTATCCACTATGTCACACTGGGTAAAATGGGAGAGGGCAGGAAACTTTATAAAAGTACTGTAGGTTCATTACATTTTAGAAAAGCTTTGGCTGTTCAAGCATGAAAATTACATTTCCTGACACACAAATTGGGTGCCTTGTGAGCTGAAAAGGGGAAGGGGTTTAGTTTATAAATTACAGGGTGGCATCCCTCTGCTCCGCTCCTGAGAGACCCGGATGGGGTGCTGCTAACTACATCGTGCTTTCTTCCCAACCTTCATTTAAATAATAACAATAAAACAAAGTCATCAAATGCTAAAGTAAAAACGGCACTCATAAACCTGGCATGGTGCATATTTTTCCCCTCGGGGAACAGCCGATTTTGCACTGGGGAGGTCTACACCCAACAGCCTTCAGCCATCCTCCCGCCCATTCCTGCTCCGGAGAAGCCGTCCTTATCTTTTCTGCGCAACCCCTCCCCTCCCCGTACTTACCCCAAAGTGTACCCTTGGGCGGAAGGGCGTTTGCCTGAGACCCCGCCACCCTCGATCGAGGAAGGGATGGAGGCAATCCTGCCTGCCCGTCTCTTCCTGCTCTCCGGAAAGTGATGATGGGCTCAAGACACGAACCAGGGGTGTTTGGTGCTGTCAGCCGGCGGAGGACACCTGAGCGAACGAGCTCCGCGATAATCTGATCCCCGCCGCCACCGGCCCCCTCGGACGCCCGGCTCCACAGGGAGGAGGCTCTTAGCCGCCCTCCCACCGGGCGAAGCACGAAACTCCTCCCACCAAGAAGAGCTGCCGCCGCCCCCCCCCTTTTCCCTCTCTCACACACGTGGCAAGGGAAAGAGCGCAAACGTTGTTTCCCCGGAAGCAGCAGCTTCGTTACTTGGCAGAAGCCTGGAAACACGGAACTGGGGCGATCCCACAGAAAGAGGGAGAAAACCGGGGTGTAATGGGGGAAAGTGGCCGTCTTCGAATTCACTCCCTAGTGAACCTGAGGCTGGTGACTTGACTTCGGCCGCCCCAACTGGTGGTGGTTGTGAGGATACACGCGCTACTTAAACGAAGGGCGGGATTTTTTTTTTTTAAGAGTTGTGGTTCAAGAGCAGATGGGGTAGCCGGGAACTTGATGAGCAAGAATTTAACTCGTGAAGTATTTTTCTTCCGTTGTCAGGCAAAAACAAAAATGAAAACAACGAAATAAAAAATACCTCTTTCATTGAACACCATACTTTCCAATCCCGTGTAAGGATTATGGAAAAGCAACACCTTATTCAGTTCAGTGGATTTGCTTCCAGGTAAACTGGCTTTGGAGTGTTTTCGTTTTGTTTCTCCAGGGGAGAATGTTTTCCTTTGAGAAATGGATTCTTAACATGCCCTGTTGTGTAAGGTTTAGACAAGTCGCTTCTGGTTTATGACCCTCTGAATGAGCAATCTCCAGAATGTCTGGTCCTCAACACAGCTCTGCTTGGCTCTTCTAAAATCAAGCCTGAGGTAAGGCAGTGGTTCCCAAGATGTTCTGTGCTGTGCTGGCCAGGCTTTTTGGGAGTTGTATTTCAAGATGAACCAAGATTGGGAAGCGTCTCATAGCCCCATCTCATAGTTGGTCATTCTCTATTCCTGTTGCTCTCCCTTCCCAGCATTAACTTTTCCATAGAATCCTGCCTTCTCATGATGTGCCCAAAGCAGGACAGCCTGTTTTGTCATTCTTGCCTCCAGTGATTGTTCATGCTTGATTTGATCTAGGACCCACTTGTTCATCTTTCTGGCAGTCCAGGGTATCCACAAAGCTCTCTTCCAGCATCACATCTCAAACAAATCATTTTTTTTTCTGTCAGCTTTCTTTACTGTCAGGCTTTCGCGCCTACCCTGTTTCCCTGAAAATATGACCTAACCTGAAAATAAGCCCTAGTATGATTTTTCAGGATGCTCATAATATAAGCCCTACCCTCAAAATAAGCCCCACTGTGCAGCAACCAGACGAAGATGGCATGACTGTATTTGAATGAATGTAGATTGTTGTACATGAACAAAATAAAACATCCCCTGAAAATAAGCCCTAAAGTGTTTTTGGAGCAAAAATAATATAAGACCCTGTCTTATTTTCAGGGAAACACAGTATATGTGGTGAATGGAAATACCAGAGTGTAGATCAGTGATGTCAAACTTTTTTGGGCTGGAGTGCCCAAACGGGGAAAAAAACCCAGCAGGTGGCAGCAGAAGAAGGGGGAATCCTGGGCATGGAGGTGCCTCAAGACCAGCACCACTCTGGATCCAGCACCGCTCTGGATCCTGGCCTGCTGTCTGTCAGGGCACCATCATTGTGGCTGGCTGCAGCCGCCTTCTCAGGTTTGGCCGCGGGGGGGAGCGGAGTAGTGATCCAGTGACTTAAGACTCGCGTGCCTGCACAAAGGGCTCTGCATGCGAGCTGTGGCAGGCGTGCCATAGGTTTGCCATCACTGGTGTAGGTGATCTTGGTCTCCAGTGGCATAATCTTACATTTGATTATCTTTTCTAATTTCCTCATTGTTGCCCTTCCTAGTCTCAGTCTTCTGATTTCTTGGCTGCGGTCTCCATTTAGATCAAGGTATACAAAATCTTTAACAATTGCAATTTCTTCATTGTGTACATTAATGTTGTGTATTCTGCAGTTATGACTTTTGTCTTAATGTTCAACTGCAGGCCTGCTTTAGCACTTTCTTCTTCCTCTTTCACTGCAAGCTGCTTCAAGTCATTGTTTGTTTGTTTTGCCAGTAAAAAGGTTTCATCTCTGTATCTTTTAAATCAATTTGGCCTTGTTTTAATAGATCTATATCTTCCTGATGGCAATAGTTCATGCAAAGAGTGTCCAGGAGGGGAAGTGCCCCTTATAGTATTTTGTGCTTTTAAAGACAACAGTCTCTGTACAGTTCTTCCAATGCAGGGCGGAGACACCCAACAGGCTTCTGTGCTGTATTAATCAACCTCTGGAATAATTTTCTCATCACAGAAAGTACAGTCTTTTCCAGTACCTCTGAGGTATTTATGCTCCAAGTCATGCTCTTCTCAATATGGACACCCAAAAACATAAAATCCTTGCTCTTTCTACCCAGTCTCCACTGATGAATAATGGTGGAATATCGATCCCTTCTTCCTATGTATTACAAGCTCCTTAGTTTTTGAAGTATTTAGAAGCAAGTTATTCTTGCTACACCATTTAATCAATCATTCCACCTCCAATGTGGGGTGCCCTACTGTGGTATCATCTGTGAACTTAACGCTGGTATGGCTGTTATAAGCAGAAATACAGTCATCTGTATAGACCAGAGGACTCAGCACACATCCTTCTGGTGAACCAATGCTAAGGTTGAGAAGCGTAGATGTATATTGCTCTATTCTAACCCTCTGACAGTGTTCAGACAAAAAAACCCTATAAGATTTCATCACTACAGCACTGTTAGCCTGTGGAATTCTTGAAGCTGACAAAGCCTTAAACAAGCATGTGCTGACTCTTACTTTTATGAGTGCTGCTAGGTTAAAGCTAGCTTATGTAGCCTATGTAGCCTTTTGCTTTGCTTTACATGTGCAATTGTTGGATTTTCACTTATACTAGACGTGAATCTGCAAAAACAAACAAACCCTTCTTTTCCCTTTCTGTGTTGCAGGAAAGTGGACTAACTACGCTGGACAGGCAGGACATGATCAGCAATCTCAACACTTTTGACTTTCTTAACACTTTTTCCAACATTGAGAATTTTGGTTAGTCAAATATTGAAATAACATTATTGAATACTATTAGCTCTCCCTCACAATTCTCTCTGGAGCCCCATTTGACAGTATGGGTTTGGACCTCTTAGTCTTGAGCTGTCCTGTTTGTCATATGCAGAATGAGCAACAGATGTTGATAATTGGTTAAGGTGATATGTAGAAATATTACTTGGTACATTTTTAAAAATCTTCGCGTCTATTTTGTTTATTATTATTAAGGTCTGATCAACCTCTCTCTCAAGACTGTTACTTAAAACTCTATGGGGAATTCCTGGAAAATCAAAATGGGGTTTAACGCACACACAGAGAGATTCTAGGAATCTTTCTTGGGTATAAAAATGTGGAAAGTGGCTCTTAATTTTATGAGTGCCACTAGGTTAAAGCACACCTGTGTAGCCTTTTGCTTGCTTTACATGTGCAATGGTTGGAGTTTCACTTATTCTAGATGTGAATCTGCAAAGAAATAAACCCTTCTTGAGAGGCGGGGCTTTGTTGCAGTGCTGCCAGTAGTGCCAGAGAAGAGCTCTCTGGAAAAACTGGAACCATCCAGTCCGGGATCCCCTTTTTGAAATGGGGATCGAAGGAGAGTCTAGGAGAATTCTCTCTGAAGCAGTTAGTGAGCAGCAGAAGGAGAAGAATGGGATGCAAACCCGGACCTCTTCCCTCTGAAGAAATCACCCAGCACGGATCAGAGGCGGGAGCCATATTGGCACATGTAACGGCCTTCCTCATGACTCACAAAGGGAGGCCATCACGTCCCTTTAAAACACTTTACTCCACTTTACTGCCACCAACCATTCCTTAATAAATAAATCATACAGCAGGCTAGTATAACTTTTAAAAATAAAAACTTGGTTTATTGATTACAAAAAGAAAGGAATAGTAAATCACTGTTAAAGGAATAATCAATCAATCACTGTTTCTCAGGCACTAGCTATCACAGACTCTTTCACACTGACACTAAGATTACTTTAACTCGCAGCTCAGACACTCATCTCTCATCTATCTGCTATCTCCTATCTCCCACTCACACCTCACACACACCTTATATATCACAGCTCCTCCCACCTCTGCACCACCCTCCGCCCTCTCATTGGCTGAGATTTT